GCACTTTTTACTGCTGACCCGTCGCTGTTTCTACGCACTGACACTTCTCTGCCGCCGTTCTACATCCTCGTGTACGTCGACGACTTGGTCTTTGCCACTGCTGACACTGAGGGACTCGCCCACGTGAAGTCGGAGCTGCAGAAGAGACACACGTGCACAGACCTGGGTGAGCTGCGCAGCTATCTTGGCTTGCGGATCACCCAGGAAAGAGCACAGCGCACCATTACCTTGACTCAGTCACACATGGTGCAGCAGGTCCTTCAACGCTTCGGCTTCACGTACTCCTCGCCACAGCACACTCCTCTGCCTACTCGCCACTCGCTCTCAGCTCCACCTTCGGACGAGTCCGTAGAGCCGAGTGGTCCGTACCCAGAGCTTGTGGGCTGCCTCATGTACCTGATGACCTGCACTCGACCTGACCTTGCCTACCCTCTTAGCATTCTGGCACGCTATGTCGCTCCTGGGAGACACCGGAAGGAGCACATGGATGCCGCTAAGAGGGTGTTGCGCTACTTGTGCAGTACGTCGGGCATGGGGCTCGTGCTTGGAGGACGGGCTCGAGTTGCCCTCACTGGTCACGCAGACGCTTCCTGGGCTGACGACTTGGCTACGCAGCGGTCGTCACAGGGTTACACTTTCAGTCTTGGCTCTGGCTCTGTTTTGTGGCGGTCTACCCGCTCGTCTTCTGTTCTCAGCTCCAGTTGTGAGGCTGAGATCTACGCAGGGGCCATGGCTGCACAGGAGTTACGCTGGCTCACCTACCTGCTGACCGACCTGGGAGAGCCACCTCGTTCTCCTCCAGTGCTGTACGTCGACAACAAGGCCATGATTGCCTTGTGTCAGGAGCACAGACTGGAGCACAGAACGAAGCACATTGCTCTGCGCTACTTCCTTGCTCGAGAGTTGCAGCAGCGTGGTCAGCTTCGTCTTGCTTACGTGGCCACTCGGGCCAACACTGCTGATGTCTTCACCAAGGCACTTCAGCCTTGTGATCATCAGTGTTTCTGTACTGTTCTAGGCCTTGTGCCTACTGTGCCTCACTTGCTTACTTCTTGACTCTGCTTGTACTGTGATCTCGCTCGATGGCGGAGTGCCATTGGTGGGCGCCCTTCGATCTTCCATCGGTGCGCAGCGGATCGTCCTTCTTGATCCACGGAGATCCTCCATCGCCAAGGCTACGGCTAGGATCGGTTCTTTGATCCACGAAGCTTCCTGGAACCAGCTTCTTCTGCCACGGCCGCCGCCGCTGCTGCTGCTGCGGCTGCGGCTGCTGCTGCTGCTGCTGCTGCTGCTGCTTATGTTGCTTCACTGGAAACCTTTCCTCCCACCCCCTCTGTTCCCCCTTCACTCTGCCGTCACTCTTCCCCGTCGCAAGTCCCTCACTCGGCAAGCCTCCCTTCAAGTATACCGCATCCGCGCTCGCTTGCCGAGCTCGCGCAGAAGGGCTGTGCGGGGGGGTTTTGCGCGCGCCGCCGTGCGCCGTTCGCAGAAGGGTTGCGTGTGGTGGTTTAGGAACGTCATCCTGAAAGGTAAGTTGCTGAGAGACCGAACGACGTGGTGATATAGGAGCGTCTTCAGGAAAGGTAAGTTGCTGAGAGACCATGCAACGTGGGGATTTAGGAACGCCATGAGTTTCCTCTGTTGACCTTTGAGTATCCTTCATTGATTTTTGAGTCGACTCAGGAGGGGACGTTAACCAAGCATTGGTAAACGAAAGCCTTCTTTGGGTTGAATCATCCCCAGTTTCCTCTGTTGATGCATGAGTTTCCGTCATTGACTTGTGAGTTGACTCAGGAGCTGGCCCGTTTAACCAAGCAGTGGTGAACGAGAGCCTTCTGTAAACTGCATCATCCCCTGATTCCTCTGCCCCTTCGTCCTTCCTCCCTTCCGCCACTTCTTCCCTCCCCTCCTCTCCTCCGTTCTCCCTCCTTTCCTCCCCTCCTTCCTCCGCCCATCCCTCCTTCGCTCCCCCACTCCCTCCACCTGTCCCGTCTCCCTTCATCTGCCTCTCATCCCTGCCCTGCCGGGCTTCCCTGTCCTCCCTGACCCCTTTCTCCTTGCTCTTCTTTTCAGCCTTCGCCCCCAAAGGACTCGTCGGTTCCCTCGCCTCCTCATTCTTCCCTTTTCTCCTCCATTCTGACAGAAGATCGCCGGGCGAGCGTCGCTCAATGGCGGAACGCCATTGATGGGCGCAATTCGAACCTCCATCGGCGCGCAGCGGATCCTCCTTCTCGCCAAGGCTACGGCTAGGATCAATTCGTCGATCCACGAAGCTTCCTGGAACCAGCTTCTTCTGCCACGGACGCTGCTGTTGCTGCTGCCGCTGCTGCTTCTGCTGTTGCTTCACCGAAAGCCCTTCCTCCCACTCCTTCTGTTCCCCCGTCACTCTTCCGTCGCTCTTTTCCATCGCAATTACCTCACTCGACAAGCCTCCCTTCAAGTCTATCGCATCCGCGCTCGCTTGCCGAGCTCGCGCGGAAGGGCTGCGCGGGGCAGTTTTGCGCGCGCCGCCGTGCGCCGTGCGCGGAAGGGCTGTGTGTGGTGATTTCGGAACGTCATCCGAAAAGGTGAGTTGCTGAGAGACCGAGCGACGCGGTGGTGATTTAGGGACGTAATTAGGAAAGGCAAGTTGCTGAGAGACCGTCCGACGTGGCGATTTAGGAACGTCTTCAGAAAAGATAAGTTGCTGAGAGACCGTCTGACATGGCGATTTAGGAACGTCTTCAGGAAAGGTAAGTTTCTGAGAGACCGTCCGACGTGGCGATTTAGTGACGGCATCAGGAAAGATGAGTTTCTGAGAGACCGTCCGACGTGGTGGTTTAGGATCGTCGTCAGGAAAGGTAAGTTGCTGAGGGACCGTGCGACGCGGTGATTTAGGAACGTCATCAGAAAAGGTAAGTTGTTGAGAGACCGTCTGACGTGGCGATTCAGGAACGTCGTTAGGAAAGAAAAGTTGCTGAGAGACCGTGCGACGTGGTGACTTTGGGACGTAATCAGGAAAGGTAAGTTGCTGAGAGACCGTCCGACGTGGTGGTTTAGGAACGTCTTCAGGACTAGGAAGTTGCTGAGAGACTGTCCGTCGATGTGGCGATTTATGAATCCGCAATCGGGGGGACCCGCGCGGACTCTTAGCCGGCGGTGCTACGCGACGCGGATGGAAGCGCCGGGTCGCCATTCTGAGCCTTAACTCCTTCCCACGATTCCTGCATGCCGGACTGATCGCGAGAGCTCGACGTTGAATCAACGGCCCGTTGATTAACCACTGCTTCAAGAAACGTAGGCTTGAGCATGTCCGGCAGGTGTTGCACAGCAACGTTCTGAGGGTTCTGAGGCATGAGGAAAGTCGGCGTTCTAAGGGTCTAATGATGTAAAAACGCTGCTGCTTCTGGACCTGAGAAAAGCCGAGTGTTGCAAGAGAACTGACGGGAATGTCGTGCTCTGAGGTGTAGGCATTTTATCGTCGGCCATTGCAACTCGTAAAAGGGTTCACGCATGAGCTAGCTAGTAGCTGTCACGAATTTAGACAAATCACCTGGCGATCATGATGATAAGTGCTGCTGCTGGGATTCGTTTTCTTCTGACGTGGGAAGAAACACCATGGGAAACCAAATGCACGCGAGCTGTGGAGTATGGCTGAACAGACTATACCCAGACAGGAGTCACAACTCTCAAGCATCGACATTCTCAAGGCAACGTGGTTTGAATGGAAGAGACTCCCGTCCCGACTCCCTCCCGAGGTTGTAGACAAAATGTTTCCAGTGCGGTGGCGGGGCGGCTGGTGGAGGAGTGGGCATAGTGGGAGGAGTGGGGCGAGCGTGGGTATGTGCAGCAAGCTTTGCGGGTGGACGTTGTGGACATTGTCAGTAACCGCGCTTCGTGGCAAATGCAAAATAATATACATTTTCATTGGTGGTTAGGGCCGTGCCACTTGGAGATTGACCCTGCGCCGTTGATGTCCCTTCCTACCCAAGGAACGCGCTTGGTTTTAGTCCAGAACGCGCTTTGGCATGGCAGCTTTGGCAGCTCCTCACTACTCGCCAACATGCAGGAATTCAAAATCAGCTCAATGGGATTTTCACACATGTACAACGAGATATATGGATTGAAATGTGTTATATATACTATAGGTAAAACCGTAGCATAAGTTGTGTGCTAGGTTATGAGTAATGGGTCACTAAACTTCTTTGGGCGTACCATAAACCTCAAATCATTGGTAAGAAATGCCGTTCTATTGCCGTTTTTCCTAATCGGTAACCCTCTAAACCATTTGCCTGCTGGCCTTCGCCTCCTCCGCAGTCGCCCCTCATGTTCATTGCCTTCCGGACTTCGAAGTTCATCCAGCGCGTCTTCCTCTATCCTACGCCCAAGACTCTTGGTCTGCAATGGAGTGTTTGACTGGACCCTCTTCCTCTCTCGGCCTCCCTCACCTACAGTGATCTACAGGATCGCCCCTTGTACTTGTTCCGCCCCTTTCTCCACCAACAACGGTCACTAAACCCTTTCCCGCACAGCCTACCACAATCCCTGCTCTGCAAGGCAGTGTCTCAACACCCCCTCCCACACAGGGGGGTCTGCAGTGTCCTGCTGGGCCTCTCTTGCTCCTTGCACCCCCCTTCCACTTCCGCGCCCATCACAGCAAGAGTCCAGCAACGGTCACCAAACCCTTACAGCACAGCCTTACCTGCAGGGAGAAAGCAAGGGGGCAGGCGGGCGGAAGAAGGGGGGGGAGGAGGGGTGGGGGGAACATGCATTATTCGAATGCACTGAGTTTTGAGGGCGTGTATAGATCGAATGCACAAGACGCTGGAATGGTACAGTATGCAAATCTCTGTGAATAGATACAGTACGCAAATACTGTGAATGCATATCATATGCAAATACCGTAAATACATACAGCATAGCGAAATGGACTTTGACAAGCCTTATGTAACACGTGTATGCATGCACAACACCGTCACAGCACGCACATCACCGTCACAGCACGCACATCACCATCAACATCACATGGCTGACAGCAGCAGCACGCAGAACAGCGACCCCTGCACCAACAGCACACACCGCACGGCGCATGCACAGCACCGCACAGCACCACATAGCACCGTCACAAGGACCCCATCATCACATACCTGACCAGCAGCAGCAGCACACAGAACAGCGACCCCAGCTCCAACAGCACACACTGCACAGCACATCAACACCGCACAGCACCACATAGCACCGTCACAAGGACCCCATCACGGCATACCTGGCATCAGCAGCAGCACGCAAAACAGCGACCCCAACAGCAGACTCAGAAACAGTGACGTGTACGCCTCCCCGCTGTGGCACATTCCCATTCCCCCCGCGCCTGCGAATCTTCCCCCCATTCCCCCCACGCCCGCGGATCCCAGCCCGGCGGCGGAGAGCGACCCCGCGGAGCGGAAGGAGCGGCGGAGGCCGGCCGCGGAGCCCTTGGAGTGGCGGGGCGGGCGGGGCGGCAGGCCGAGGGGAAGGCGGAGCTTAGACGGCGATAGCGCCTGCTGCTGCTTCTGCATTGGCTGCTGCTGCTGCTGCTGCTGTTGCGGGTCATCGTGATAGCAATGCTGCAACGGCTGCTGCTGCTGGTTGTGGTGGTGGTGCTGCTGCTGATGCTGTTGGTTCTGGTGGCGCATCTGCGGCTTCTCCTGTAACATTGTGACAGCCATCTCTCGGAGACCCAGCGTCTCTACCCAGTCGTTAAGAAGCGCCCACCAGCGCTTTAAATTAGCCACTAATCTGCTGTCGGACCGCGAAACCCATGCGACTGGGAGGATGCTATCACCTTGCGCGACGAGGCAGCGGCGGCACTGTAGCGCGACGCCATGGATTCGGCAATACGCACCCGTGCTCTCCACGTCAGTGCCTAAATTGCATTCTCTTGTAACGGGGTCAGAGCTGGAGTTTAGTCCTGGTGCTGCCGGTGACGGAAACGGGGACGAACAGAAAACGGAAACCGTCGTCTCGGTTTGTTGCGGTGCGTATTCCCGGCAGAAAACGACGCCGTCCTCCGCAGAGCATGCCGTGGATGGCGGCGGATGAGTCGGCGGAGAGCGCTGCGAGAGCGGAGAAAAAGGGAGCGTCGCGTCGTTAACGAGGCTGCTGCGACGCTCTCTCGTTGGCGAGATGCTTCGCTGTGCCGGGCTTTTGACGACGGCGGCGGGATCGCCGAGAGTCTTATTGCTGCTGCTGTACGACGGGAGCATGTGGACCGGGCTGAGGTGCGACGAGTGTTGCGACGAGTGTTGCAACGAGTGTTGCGACAAGTGCTGCGACGGGTCCTGCGACGAGTGCTGCGACAGTGGCTGCTGAGCTGGCGTCGGCGACAGGAACTGATGAAGCAGCTGCTGCCGCGGGAGTGGCGAAAGCGACTGAATGGGCGATGGCGACGACTCCGCGTGCGACTGCGGCGTCGGAGTGAATGACTGCGGCGACAGTAGCTGTTGAGGCGTAAGAAACACTTGTGGCGACGCGTGCTGTGGCGACGCGTGCAGCGGCGAAGAGTGGTGCGACGCCTGCTGCGACAGTTGCGCTGACGTGTGATGCTGCTGCCAACAATGCTGTAGCCTCTGCTCTTGCGGCGGCTGCTGCTGCTGCCCTTGTCCCTGCGACTGGCCCTGCGACTGGCCCTGCGACTCGTCTTGCGACTTAGAGCTATCTTGGCGACCGCTCTGCTGCAGCTGAGCCGGATCTCCTAAACACATCGAGTTCGGGCTATGCCGAGGCGAACAACCAGGTACGGGGGTGTGCTGAGGCGAACAACCAGGTACGGGGGTGTGCTGAGGCGAACACCCAGGTACGGGGGTGTGTCGAGGCGAGCAACCAGGTAAGGGACTCATGGAGACATTCCAAATGTGAAAGAACGACGACAGAGGGTCGGATTGCCCTCCGCCGATTCGCGGGCTATTGGAGAGGAGATTAACGACCGTGGCGCGGATTTCTGGCGAGATGTTCGCGCACGTAAGCTGGTCCTTCGCACTATCATAGTAATTACTACTGTCATAGTAATGATTACCCATGCTGCTGCAAGCGGTAGTGCCGCAGCTGGCGGCGTAGCTGGTGGTGTTACAGGAAGCGCTTGATAAGAAAGCGTCTTCTAGATCGCTCGGGGCGCTCGAGACGCTGCGCACAACCTGGCACGTCATTGCCACAAGCGAGCCCTTCCGTTTCTTCCTAATATTTAAGAACTGCCCTACAGCTTGGTCCCAAGGTAGGGCCAACCACAATGACACGTATACTCTTCACAGATAAAATTATGTGGAACTCAACTTCTACGGCTTTCCGAGTGAGAATCGTTGAAGCGGGCCACGGGGATCTGCTCGTCCTACACCTGCCCTAGCGTGGCGAAGGCAATGACAACCTCGAAAGAACGAGGAGGCACTGAACTGGACAATCGGATGCTAGGAACTCCAAAGAGTATCATCCAACATCAAGGCCCTTCGGGAATGTCACGGGACTTGAAAACTACGAGAGCGGGATTTGCGGGAGCTGCACGAGTCGAGAGAATCGAGAATGCCATCTCAAAATAAACGACTCTTTTGGTCAGTGTGATGGGCTGCGAGAAAGAAACAAAAATTGTGAGAGGACGGGTCACAGGAAATCGACCAGTGCAGTTGTGCTATCGAACCTTTCACGCAGCCGGGGACGGGCAGAGGCCGAGGCCCTGCGAAAAATGTTTCTCGAAAAGTTTAGCGCTGCCCATGTGCCGTCAACTTTGTCCAGCATTGCTTCAATTAGGCAAAGTCGTGTCGCCTTGCGTTGAGATAATCGGCGGCACAATTTTGGTTCCTTGGCGCGGTGACCGTATGTGCTCCCATCCAATCGATGCTATGCCGGGGACGTGCGAAAGGCACACATCCAATTGAAGCCGAATTTGTCGACAAGGGCCAGGGCTACCAAAAAGATCCAACGGAATCCTTTGGTAACCAGCGCCAATAACGCTAAGCTGATTATCCTTTCTTTGTGGTTACGACTTGTAAGGTAGAGTGTGGCCCGCTTGTTATGAATGTAAGGTAGAGTGTGCGGAATAAACATTTAACTAGACTTTGATTACAGGATGAGATACGATGAAAATCGACAGGGTTAAATATGGGGATTACTAGCTAGGTGGGGGCGTCAAGCAAAGATCGCTCGGAATGGTTGCAATTAGTGTGAGGGCGACTCAGGAGTGGTTTGAAATTGTAGACCGAACCATCTGACATGTGGCCCTCGGGATGTACGCACTAGGGTCAATCATTACACAACTATTATTTCTGCGTGTATGGGTTTAACATTTCATTGACACCATTCCCCATGCTCTATGCACCATATTCATGCCATGATGCGACCGGCCATCTTGTTACCATCCATGGCATTTCCCTCATCGCGTCTCAGCCATCCACCCCTGCTAGTAACCAGCGATCGGATCTTTCCAGTTTGTTATCTCCCGAATCTCGTACGGAGAGTCACTCTACAACGGAAGTGGACTACGGATGAGGGCCCGGGGTTGTGTGGGTGATCGTAGCGTTCTACTGGCGTTCTTACTGTCAACGGGAGTTGTGGTTGGCCCCGTCCTCGCTTGGGCGGAGCCGACTTCGTAGTCGGGTGTGCGGGGAGCGCAGCCGATCAGTTGCTGTGAGGGCGCCCAGCTGGAGGGCGCCGAGCAGGAGGACGCCGTCATGGGCGTCTGGACGGCATCCTGGGCGCCTGGACGCCTGGGCGCCTGGACGGCGTCCAGGGAGGCTGGACGCCGACCTGGGCGTCTGGACGGCGTCCTGGGCGCCTGGACGCCGACCTGGGCGCCTGGACGCCGACCTGGGCGTCTGCACGGCGTCTTGGGCACCCGGACGCCGACCTAGGCGCCTGTACGTCAACATGGGTCCTGTGACACTTCATCTGGGGACGCCGGTCTGGTGTAGCCGGCGTACGACGGGTCTGGTCGACTTGCACGGGGTCCACGGCAAGGGCGCCGACTTCGGGAGGGCGCCAACTTCGGCTGGTCGACTTGGGAAGTCGACCAGCAGTGGGCGTCGACTTGGGTGACGTCGACCAGGGGAAGCCGACTTGGTGTGGTCGGCTGACATGCGTGCTGGTCGACCTGGAGTTGGTCGACCAGGAGGGTTGTCGACCTGGAGCTGGTCGACCAAGGTTGTGGTCGACCTGGTGAGGTCGACTGAAGGTGGTAGTCGACTTGGGAGGTCGACGGGCACAAGAGGAAGCAGCTGGTCGGCATGGTGGTTGCGTGGTCGACCAGGTTACCTGGGTGACGAGGTTCTGCGAAGGAGTGCGACGGTCGCCCAGGTGGTAGTGGCGAGACCGACCTCGGTGGTGGTATCCCGAGGTCGACATGGCTGGTGGGCGCAGTCGCTGACGTGGAGTCAAGCTGGGCGTCTGCGCTGTGCACGTGACAAGGAGAAGTGCACCAACCAGCTTTACGCACCTGCGAAGCAGTTGCACCGTTGTCCTGCGAGAGCAACGCTGTGCAGCCGACTTGCTGCAGCGTTGGCACACCGTGGACTTGCAATATTGGCAAGCTGCGACTTTGCTCTGCTGGAGTGCGGTCGACCAAGTCGTGCTGACACGCAATCGACCATGATGCGCTGGAAGTCGACCAGCAGTTTTGCTAGGTCTGGTGTAGTCTTGCATGCCAATGTTCTTGCCATCATTCTGAACCATTGTTCTCAACTTTTGCTAGTGAAACTCTTGCAGTTTTGCCCTGTGAACGCACAAGTGCTAGAGAACGACTAAGTGAACGAACGCAGAGATCCCTCCTACCCCGTGCCTAGCCCGTAGTCTAGCTCCCGTTGATAGAGTTATCTCCGCATGGTGCGGTGAGCGTGGACGGCACACGACTTACCTTTCAGCCAGGTCGACATAGTTGTCACTTACCTAATTCGTGTTCGTAGGCCGGCAGCTGTGCGATAGTCACTATGGTAGGCGCCGTAGGTGACACGGGGGTGGTGGACACCCTGGAAGCACAGCTGGAGGATGCGAGGAGAATCCATGAGGCCCAGGAGTACGGAGCAATCCCCTAGGCGGTCGTCGAGGCTGGACTCCGCACCGTGTGATCTGCTTGTTGGTCGACCTGATATCCTCACCTGGAAGGAAGCCATCGAGCCTCAGCTGGAGATGGCCGGGCTGATCAGCTTCGCCAGGGCCACTGTGGCGACGCCGGAGAAACACTACCCCGACTTGCGTGCGGAGTTTCGCGCCGTGCAGTTGTTGACCTTCACGGTCATCTCGCGTTGCTTCTTGCCGGGCGTGCAAATTGCCTTGAAGTCGTGCAGGGAGTACCTCGACGCCGGCCACCGGGCATGGCACTTCATTGAGTCGATGTACCAGGTCACCGACGACCTGTACATCGGCCAGCTTGAGGAGCAGTTGTCGCACATACGGACGGGCGAAGAGGAGACGGCGACCGACTACTGCAACCGGGCTCGGCGAATTCTCGCCACCATGAGGATGGCCGGCGTGCACTACTCGACGGCGTCGTACCTCACACACATTATCAAAGGGCTCACGAGCAACTACAACCTGCTGAGACGACTGTCTATGGCGCCGAGTACTAGGGCGACACTCAACAAGGATTCTCTTACCTCGTACATCCTGCAGGATGAGGCGATGCAGGAAGCTGAGCGGCCCTCGGAGCTCCTGGTGCAGGCGCACTACGTCGCCCAAGTGAAGCAAGGTA